GGCGGGACGGGCCGGTCGCGCCGCTCCGCTCCGCTCCGCACCAGCCGCGGGGGCGCGCACGGCCGCGGGCACGCGCCCTGCCTGCAGCCGCCCGTTGCCATGGCAACCGGGATGGAGCCGCTGCCCGCAAAGGCTGCAAGAGCCGTCGGGGGAGGCGGGGGGGGGGGGGGGGTGTTGCGCGCAGACCATGGCCCCGCACCCTGGGTTGGGGGGGGCCGGGCAGAGACCCTCAGCGCCCACCCATGGGGTGCTGCGGGAGCATCGCTGTCGCTGCGGGCTCCGTTAGGGCCACAAGCGGGGTCCTTCCCCCTCAGGCTGCACTGCCGAGAGGCTCCTTGGGGAGCTGTGAGAGGATACCCCGGGGTACCCTCGTCTTTGGCCCCTGTCCCTCCTCCACAGGACAGAGCAATGCGCTCCCTCCTCTGCTCCCCTGGGCGCTCTGCCGCCTCCATGGCCCCGGGAAGGGGATGCAGGCAGGGATTTGGGGCTGAGACGCAATTTTTGCAGGAACAAACACCCCAAAAACCGCCTCCAGAGGAGCAGACGGTGCTGCCTCCGTGCCAAATGTGCCAGCGGGGAAAGGCTGGCAGGAAAAGCAGAGGCTGTCCTTCCCACCCAGCAGGGCTAGGGAACGGGGTGATGGGGTGACAGGGGCTGCATCCCCCTAAGGCTTCTTCGAGGCCATGGAGCCAGGCAGCTCCTTCCCCACTGCCATCTGCCTGCTCCTGAGCACAGAGGTTCGTGCTTGGGGTCAGTGGGGCTTGGGATAGGATGCACATCCCAGAGTGGAGCAGAAGGCTGGAGCCATCCTGCCCCACGTCTGGGGATGCTGCGGAGCCAGGGGGATGCAGATGGGGGTGCAGACAGGCTCTACCTCTCTCAACTGCCCCTGCGCACCGGCTCTGCGCTTGCCCCAGCTCGCACGGGTGATGTCAGGGAAATTAAGAGCCAGCAGGAGGGGAAAGCTTCCAGCCGAGTAACCGAAGCCACAGTAATGAGGCTGCCGGGGGCCGCTGCCGCCAGGATCGGGTTGCCCAGAGAATGTGACCCGGTCCCAGGAGGCTCCGACGCCGGCTCAGCTTTCCCCTGACAAGCGCCTTTCACAGCTTAATGAAGCTCAGTGGGGCCCCATCCTGCTCCTTCCAGCTTCGTGCCATCCAAGGGTGTTTTCCCACCTCACGGCTGGACTTTCTGCCCCCAAAGTGTTTCATTCCCGGCTGTGGCTGGCAGCAGTGTGTGGGACCCCAGCATGTGATGCTCCCCGATCCCAACATGTGAGCAGGCATGGGCTGCTGTTCCTGCTGGTGCCAGGGCATCTTTGCCCATTGGTATTTCAGAGCTATGAACTGGAGTGTGCTGATTAACTGGGCATCATCCTGCAATGCAAGGAGCTGGCAGTTCTCAGCACAGGGTTGCTGCAGTGCAGAGAAGCAAATGTTATTAGGATTTGCTCTCCAAGAAGGTGACAGGGGGGACTCAATGGCTTGGGAGGGCTTTTCAGTGCTGACAGCCCCATTGCCACCAGCTTTGTGGCAGATGTGGCCCATGCAGGTAGGACTGACTCAAGTCCCCTTCCCCAGCAGCTCACTGGAACCTGCCTCCACAGCATGATGCTCTTGCAATGTCATCTGGTTCCTTCACCACAAACTTTTCCCTGGCTCCTGCTCTCCCATTGCTTACTACTCCTCACGATAAGCCATTTTCCCCCTGTAAAAGAAGCTTCCTTGTGGGAAGCCAGCGTTGGCAGGAAATAAGCCCTGATTTATCGTGCCGCTCGCCACTCTGAAATTACGGCTCTGTGAGCACCGTGGCAAGCTGAGAGCAGCAAATCAGCCCACACCGTGCTCTTGCGGCTGCCAGCAGCCTGCCTGCGCAGCAAGCTGGTGCGGGCAGGGGAGGAGAGAAATGCCACCAGCTATCAGCCGCTCTGCCCATCACCCGGCCACAAATGCCACCTTTTACATGAATACGGGGGGGGATTTTCCACAGTGGCTTCATCCCAGCAAGGAAAGGAAAATGCATTTCCTAAACCACGGCAGAGCCCCCTGTTCTGGTGCTTTCTGCAGAGCTGGATGCTGCTGGGAGCAAGGGGAGAGCCCCCAGCCCATGGGAAGGCTGCTTGGGGTTGGGAGCAAAGAGGCCCAGCATCCTGTTTATCCTGAGCCCATCCATGGCTTCTCCCTGCCCCTTCGCACTCAATACCAGGGGCAAACAGGAGCATTAGGGCATCTGGCTGCCCTCAGGGCTTATGGGGCCAGACAGGGCCAGTGCCCCCGTGCTTGCCCCATGCCCAGGATGTGCTCCCCCTGCGGATGTGCCGCCGGTCCCAGGAGCCCTCTGGGGCTTGCTGGGAGAAGGCAAGTGAAGCTATTCTGCATCTCTAATTAGCAGCGAGGATAATTGGCCGCTCTGCAGGCATCCCACAGAAAGGCAGCCATTGTGGAGGGCCCCAGCGCGGGGCAGGTGCTGCCAGACACCCAACTCCCACCAAAACAATCCCCTTCTTGTCTGCTCATGCCTGGCCCTGGGGGCATCCCCCCGAGCCCTTCCGGGGAAGGGGCTGGCGATGGGATATAAAGGCTCTATTTTCCCTGGGATGCTGCATGGAGCTCGGTGCTGGGACCTCGCTGCCTGCTTCCCCCCCATGCTTTGCCATGCCGAGGGCAGCTTGGCTCCTGTGGGAAGCTGCCAGTTGGATGCGGCCTCTCCCTGCCCAAGACTCATCTGCAGAAGCCCGGGAGGGTCCCTTGTTTGCCTTCAAGGTGTTGCACAAGCTCCAGCTGGTCTGGCCACCCTGCGGGGACAAAGTCTGTCCCTGGGCAGAGCTGCTCGATGAGGTCTCCTCCTCCTGCCGCCTGTGCCAGAGGAGCCCAGCTCCATCCTGGCTCCATTCAGGGCCTGACATGGCCCGAGGGATCACCAAGGTTGAGGACACAGGATGTTTGGGAAGCAGGATCCCACACAGAGCCAAACCCAGGCTTTGGCTCGCTGCAGGACATGGCTCCGGTGCGGATGCACATTGCCAGTGCTGATGTCCCCTTTCTTTCCCTGCCCTTGTGCACGTCACCAGCTGATGCCCGCCAGCTGCCCAGGCTTTCCTTCCTCAATCCTTTTACAGTTAAAACCCAGCTCCCATCCTGCTGCAGCCCCTTTGGTGGCCACACACCCAGGGAGAGGTGGAGAGGTCATGGATCAGTGCAAACCCCAGGGCAGGGTCAGCACCGTCAGCATCGGCTGAGACAGGGGCGAAGGGAACACAAACCGCAGGAGGTGGGGAGGACCCCCAGGGTTTTGGGGTCAGGCACGATGGGAGCTGCAGTTTGGTACCAAGTCCCCATTGGTGCCAGCGATGCTGTTTCCTGGCTGTGCCATGGCAATGGCCTTGCTCCAAATGCATGGCTTAGGGATGGGTTTGCCTGGGGAAGGCGGCGCGGGGCTGACGGAAGCGGGAGCAGCCTGAGAGGCTGCCGGGGAAGCTCTAATCCGTTTAGCAAAGCGCTTGCTCTGCCATTCCCGAGGCAGGTGCCAGAGGAGATGCAGGCAGAAGCGGGCGGTGCGGCAGGACAGGCGGACAAGGGCAGCAATCCTGCTCCCTGGGATGAGCTGGGAGATGCCATCCTCCCAAGGGCTGCTGCAGGATCCCAGGGGCTGCTCTGCGGGAAGCTCCTGCCCCCAGCTCCATCCCTGCTCTCCCAGAGAGGGTGATATAAAATGGGAGCAAAGCCCCAGGACGGCACCGGCAGCTCCAGTGCCTTGGGATGTGCTGCATCCCTCCTGCCCCAGGGCTGCACGGGCAGCCCAAACCATGCAGGTACCACCCCGGGGAGGGGGTAATGAGCCTCTTCCAGCCCCATGCACCCCACAGGGACCCCACTGCTCGCTGTAGCGATCCCAGAATCACAGCTCTAATGCCCCGTGTGCCTCCACAGCAAACACCCTGGGGCAAACGTGGGCTGGGGGGATGAGCACCGGCCCCTGGGCAGGCAGAGCCCCCCGGCAGCACCCAGGCTCAGCCTAAGCCGCCTTGCAGAGCCTCAGCTCCTGCCAGCTGCCCCAGTGCCGTGCCCTGCGGCTGAGGGATTAGGGGAGCTCTGGGGGATGCTCTGCTGTGAGCTCGGCCCCACAGCACCCGGGAGCCGCTGGTGCAGCTGAACCCCTTCGGCTGCAGGGCTTGGAGCAGGAGCCAGGGCTTCGCACCGGGTAAGACGATGTCAAACGCGTCCCAGGGAGGTGAGGGGGGGATGCCAGCGCTCAGACCTGCCCGCAGATCGTCCCCGCTGGGGTCCCAGCCCTTTATGCATCCATGGAGAGCAGGAGGGACCCCACACCCAGGGCTGAGAGCAGCTGATCCACCAGCGCTGCCAGCCCCAGCCTGGCAGGGTGAGCGCAGCCCTGGAGCATCCCTGGCCCCACAGCCAGTGTGTGGGGTCACAGCTGCTGCCCGGACCCCCCCAGGGAGCCCTGGATGTGAGGGGTGGGCTATGGGGTGACGGGCACAGCGTGCAGAGCAGGGCTATGTGTGCACCAGACTGTAGGTGCCCCTGCAGGCACAGCAGCCGGGCAGGACCTGTGGGACCCACAACTGCCTTCCCACCCGACAGAGACACCACCAAGCCGGGATGAACAGGCAAACCCCAAACCGGGGCGGGGGACGCACACACTGGAGGTAGACAGCGATCCCCACTCAACAGAACCCAGCAGGAGCTGGGAAGTGCCTAAACGAGTCAGGGAGCTGCTCTGCTAAACTGGGGCTCATTTCCCAACAAGCGACCATCGGCACAGGTTGGAGCCCATTTCAAACACCCCCCCCCCACCAGCCAGGAAGAGACTCAGGGTGACTGCACGGTCACAGCGCACCGAGCCCCGGCATCCCATCGCCATCGGGGGGACACCGCCACCTCCATCACCGTGTGTGCTGCAGCAAGCCCCGGCCAACCCACCGATGCCAACCTCCCTCCTGGCCCCAAACCTGCCGGGATCTGCATGGGGGGGGGGGGTACCTTTGGATGTGGGGACCGCGGCAGAGCGGGGCTGGCTGCGTCTCGCTGGGGCTGGCTCTGCACATCGGCAGGAAGGTCACGGCAGATGGGGAGGAGGGGGGTAAAGATCAGCATGGAGATTAGGGAAGCATTTTTAGCCAACCAATCGCCGCCCCCGTGTAACGACTCCTTGGCCGCACAAGGTGAAAACGCGACCGTGGAGATGGAGATGGGGATGGATGGGGATAAGCCCGGAGCCCCGAAGCTGGTGGTGGTGGCGGCAGGGGGTCCCCAGCCTCCCCGTGCTCCTCTGTGTGTGTTCATCCATCCCCTGCCGCTCTTCCCTTCCCCTTCGAGCCTGTTTTGCACCCTGCTAACCAGGGACAGGTCGGGGTGCCTGTGTGAAGCTCCCCCGGGTCTGGGGTGTTCGAGGGATGCTCAGACCTCCGGACAGGGCAGAAGCAGCCCTGCTCAATGGGGGGACATTGCACACATGAACACAGCTCCGGTCCCCACTTTATCCCCCTGCCTGGGGCCACCGCATCGCCCCCCGGCTATGGAGGGCACTTCGGGGCACAAAGCGGACTCTGCGCGGCTCCAGCGAGCCCCGAGCCCTTTGCCTGGGTGTGAGCGGGGCAGGGAGCACCTCGGGGAGCGCCGCAGCCCGGCTCCAAAGGGCACTGCCACGGGGATGGGCAGCGGGGGTGCCCAAGCGGGGCTCCTCGCCCCGGTACCCGCAGGGTGAGAGCGGGCAGCGCCCCAGGCCGGGGGCAGCCGAGCGGGTCGGGCTGAGGATGAGACACGATCGCGGGTGGGTGCGCGCCCGTCAGGCACCGCGGAGGACACCCCGCGCCCCATCGTGCGCGCTCTGCTCAGGCACTGCCGCGGTCACCCTCGTCTACAGGGGACCTTCGGGAGGCCGGAAGCGGGCGCTCGGCGCTTGCGCCCTCCTTTCCGCTCTTGGGGCCGCCGCCGCAGCCACGGTGAGGCCGCGCTCGGAGCCTGCATCGGACTCGCATCGGCGCCATCCCTCGGCGGGGCCGCGGCGCCGCTGCTGGGCAGGGGCGGGGAGGCGCGGCCCGGGCCCCCGCGGGGGGATTGCTGCGGTGGGGGGCTCCAGCTCCGAGCTTACGGGGCGGGAGCGGCTGCGGGGCGCTAGGCCGCGGGGAGGGCCCGCTACCGGGCAGCCAGGCTTTGGCGCTGTGGCAGGGGCAGGCCGCGGCGGGAGCCCCGTTGGGGCACCGGGGTGTCCCCACCGCTGAGCGCCGGCAGCGCTGCGGTTCCCGCTGCTCGAGTCAGAGCGGCCCGTTCCTGGCCCCTGCGTGTCGGGAAGCGTTGCCCAGTAGCGGAGTGGCTCTGGTGCACGGTTATGGGGCTCGGGTGCGCTTCCGGACCCTGCTCCCCTCTCCGGGAGGGGAGTGTGAGCGGCTTCCCCTTCTCCGGAGTTAGGTGGATTGACAAGAGCGGCACAACTGAGCTCGGGTCTGTGGCAGTGGAGCCGAAACAAGCTTCACCCTGAGCTGTATCTGTGCCCCACTTGAGTCAGCCCTTGTCTCGGTTGAGAGCAGGTCGTTCAGTCTTTAACACAGTGATGAGCCCTAACGTTAATGCTCAGAAGTTCAGATTGCTGTTTTCCTTCACAGCAAAACCGTGGGAAGGGATGCCCAGCAGCCCAGGTGTTGGAATTGTTTTCCCTACAAACTAGCACTGGTTTTGTAGTTACTTCTGGTAGACCCCTGAATGCGTTTATTTTAAATTGGCAGCATTTACCATCTACCTCTAATCTCATTTAGATGTTGATGCCCAAGAAGAACCGAATTGCCATCTATGAGCTCCTTTTTAAGGAGGGAGTGATGGTGGCCAAGAAAGATGTCCACATGCCGAAGCACCCCGAGCTCGTGGACAAGAATGTGCCCAACCTCCATGTCATGAAAGCCATGCAGGTATGGAGACAAGGGTGGGCTGCCACCAGCCACGGCCTGGGCACACCAGCGTGCTGCCTGCCTGTCAACAAGCATCATCAGCCATGAGCAGATAAACACAGAAGTTGCATGGGCTGTTTCTTTCCTATTATAGCTGTTTCCCATTTTCCTGATTTTTGCCATTTCCTCTTTGATTTATTGTTCTGCCCAGACCACAGGTTATTCTTTTGTGGATGTACGTCTCTAGTTCCCTTTCTGAAGCTATGACTCCTGTGTGTGTGGTAGCCTTGTGTTTTTCACTTGGTAGAAACAATGCTGTAATTTAGACCTGTGCCTGTGAACCCCCCACATACCCTTGATGAGCTCTTGTATCCATAAAACCATCTGGAGAGGATATTGATCAGAGGTGTTGAATGATGATCAGTGTGTGAAGTAATGCAGAATTCTCTCTCTAGTCTCTGAAATCCCGTGGTTATGTGAAAGAGCAGTTTGCGTGGAGGCATTTCTACTGGTACCTGACCAACGAGGGCATCCAGTACCTGCGTGATTACCTCCACCTGCCCCCTGAGATCGTCCCTGCAACCCTGCGCCGGAGCCGCCCAGAGACAGGCAGACCACGGCCCAAAGGTGAGCTGAGAGGGGGCTGTGCTCAGGAGGAGAAGAAGGGGACAGGTTGAGTGTGCTGGTGCAGGTGTAGTGCACAGTCAGCTGAACAGCAGCTTCCGGAGCAGAGCAGTGTCAGTTGTTGTGATTTTTGGACTTCTAAACGTGAGCAAATCGAGATGTGTAGGTTTTATTGCTTCAGTATTTGGCACTCATCTGATGGCTACTGGCCTACTGAGAGGGGGCTAAAGAAAGCTGTGAGGCTGACTGGGTGAGCCGCTTTGAGTGAGAGTCTTGGCTTATGGTGACACTGGTGCCTGGAAGAGCAGGCCTGCTGGAACTTCAGTCTTTGGGTTGAAGCACCAGTTGGTTCCCATACATGGCTGAGGTCTACGACAATGGATGCCTCTGGCTTCTGGGGATTTTCAGAAGTGGTTCTTGTCATTTGGGAAGGGCTTGCTGCAATCCTTCTCTGTTGTTTGGGAAGGAGGATGGTGTGTGTGCTGCCCACCTAGTGCAGCAGCAGGGAACCTTGAGGTATACTTAGGAGAACTGCCTGGAAGGCTGGTGTGTAAAAGTTGAGCGGCTTTGGCTGGGGTGCGTGAAATGGGGAACAAACTTGGCATGCAGGATTCAGTGACTGAGTGAAAGCCAAGGCCTGGGTGCTGGATGTGCTTCACATGGGAGTTCGAGCTTGGTACTGGTGGGCAAGTTGGACATCCATAATTCTGGCTTTATCCTGTGTGTTTCTGGGCAAGTCCCATTATTAAAGCTCTGTTCATTTTTTTAAAGGTTTACAACAAACACATATGATGTGTTGGGTTTGTAGTTGGTTTTGTTTTTGTGGTGGGTTTTCATAGCCCAAAGTGAAGGAGATGGTGGTCATGCAAACAGATGTGCTGCTGATACTGAGTGCTTGCTTGCCTGCAGCTGCCTCTGCATGGGTGCCTCCCTGCAAAATGTCTTGGAGACCCACCTGCAGATGGCTGAAACCTGTATCCAGAAGGTGTTCTGGTTGCAGATAGGAATATTAAATGATAAAAGTTTGGGTTGCAGACCTGCCTCTCTAGGCTACACAGGGCAGAATGACTTGTGAACCATTTTGATCTCCTTTGTGGTGAGCAAAGTCCTAAAACAGTGCAGTATAAACAAACTTTGAGGTGGGTGTGCTGAAGCCACTGTGGCCCTTGGTTCAGTTCTGAACAAGTTACTGTGTTCCAAGCTAGTAATTCGGAGTAGAAAGGATGATTATGTTGCTTGTATGTGCTTAGAGATGCTACGCAAAACCCCTTACACTTGGTTTTGCTGGTTTCTTCTGTCCAGCAGTACAGAAGAAAACCCAGTGTAGAACATGGATAGTAAAATTGCCCAGAAGGTCTTGGGGGAGATAAAAACTTCTGGAAACCTAAGAGAAAGGAGGGAGAAAATCACTGCAGCTGTGGTTGGCAGGACAGCATTGCAAGGTCTCTAGGGGCAAGAAATGCATCTTTTCCTTCAAGGCAGGTGATGGTAGGTTTGTCTGCCTTGTGTGGAGTTGCCTCTTGTGTTTACCAAGAATAATGTAGGATGTCACCCTGCCCATAGAGAAAGACTCACTCTGAAAGGGGAGTCCTGCATGACAGAGCTCTTGGTAGCAGTCCACTCTTCCTGCTTCTGAGCTGTGTCATACCCCATTGGCAAGGTACTAGATGCGGCACTTCACCTCCATTGCCTGCAATTTGTTCTTTAGCTTAACAAAGCTGTAGCATCATGTGCTTCAAAGGAAAGCATTGCATTGGAATTAGGAAGGTGTGTCTTTGATCTCTGAGAAGCTTTGGATATTGCCAAATTTATTCTTTGGATGCTGTGTTTATCCAGCAAGCTGAAGAAATCATGTCTCTAGCGGGAGCGAGGGGCTAAAACTTGCTCAGGGTTTTTGCAGAGGGGCAGCTTTGCTTTACAGCATCGCAGCCCTTCTCAGGGCAGTGCCAATGACCTCAACTGGTCCACACCTTGGCAGGGTTAGCTGGTAGGGCTGCACATATTGGCTGTTCCTGTGTGGATCACCTCCCTGCAGCAGACTAAAGGTTGCAGAGTGTGTGTGAATGGTGGTGCAAAACTTCTGGGTATTGCTTGACCTCTTGGGGTTTTGGGGCTTTTCCTCTACTTCAGTGCAGTGCTACCGCCTTTCTCAAGTAAGGCTTGGTACGGAAGCTGAAGGAGTTAGTCTGAAGCATGTTTCAGACTCCTGTGTGTTCAAGATTTGCAATCTGTTTCTCTGTTACAGATGTAATTGAATTGTTAGAAATAAAGAATGGGCAAATTTGAAGTTTAAAAAACCCTCCAAATCCATTGTCTGTGGGGTTTGCTCTAATGTTTTATCCTGACAGAAAGGATGTAGCACTTGTAAGATAGGTTAAATCTGTTTGCATATCCGTGGGTGGTGTTTCTCTTTGTAATAAAAGCATCCATTATAAGTACCGTGTTTTTCTGTGGGAAAGCTAGTGCCTATAGTATAAGTGAAGCCTGTACAAGTGCATGGTTCATGTTTCTTGCTGCATGCTTGACACTGCTGGCAGCAACTTTAAATGTGTTCTACCCTTGAGTGGGAAGACCTCAGCCTGGTGCTGTGGGACTTGTTTGGTCTCTGATGCTGAGGGTGAGCTCCGGAAGAG